ACAAACTGCTTCATCTGCCTGAGCCTCAGTTTCCTTATGACAATTTTGCTTAGATATTCTCCAGGACTGTTTTCCAGTAATAAAATTATTGCCAACCCTGAAAAGTCGGCAAATATTGTCATCCCCTCTTTATAGATGAGGAAACAGGCTCACATGGGTGAAGGGGCTTACCCAAGGCTCCTTATTGAGTAAGAATACAAGTTTTCTCCCCCAGAGCTAAGCTCTTGCATTCCATCAGGCTCACCCTTTACAGGAGTAAACAAGATCACACTGTGCCCTGATTAACACTTTCCTTTTTCACACAGAATAAAATCTATAATCCCTGCTAGGTATTACAAGGTCTTACATGACCTAGCCCTTGCCAACCAACAATTTACTTACTACAGTCGGCCATGTGAGCCTTCTTCCTGCTCTTTTAACACGGCAAGGTCAGTGTTTTTACAATGCTTTCCCCTTTGCCTATACCCTTCCCCTAGACTTTCACATGGCTACCCTCTGGGTCTAGGTCTCAGCTCAAACGCTACCTCCTTCGAGAGACCTTGCTTAACCGGACAATCTAAAGTAGTACCTTTAGTTCTTCCTCTAACATAATGCACCGTTTCACTTTCTTCAAAGCACAGATCACTATGTTTATCCGTTTACTTGTTTGCTGTCTATCTTTCCTCTGACTAAAATGTAAACACCATAAAGGCAAGAACACATCTGACCACTGTACCTCTAGCACCTAAAAAAAAATGACATTATGTTCAAAAATATTTATAGAATTGAGGAATGTAGAGCCAATTATTACGCAGCAAGAGATTAAACCTTTTTGAACACAAACTCCGCATCCTCCACTCCCATCAAGTACTTAATTGTGTACGTTGTGGGTAGGAGTGGACTGAAGAGCACAAAGGAAGGGTAGGATGGATAAATGACATCCTAATTTTCAGAAATCTATCATGCATTTCTTAAACAATTTGCCTATAATGATTATTTAAATTAGGAAAAAATGAATTTTTCCTCATTCTTCCACCTCTGGCATTATAAGCAAAACTGTCCACTTCTTTGTTCTCCTCATTTCAAGGGGAAGGAATGACAGCGAATGAGGCACAGAAATGAGTGAGGACTTGCTCAAAAACCTCAATTAGAAGAGCTGGGATTAGATAATACTCACTAATAAACCCCTGTCCTGCACTTAACTCCCAAGACCCACACAGTTCCACATCACGTGGTCACACCAGGTTACTACTTCTCACTGGTGAGGCTGGACAGTGCAAAATCTTACCATATCACTTTCTCTTGAAGACTGTCCCACTTGAAAGAAGCCTTTAAAACTGGAGTGCAATTATCTATGTTCTATATAGTCATGGACTGTGTGTGTGTGTGTGTGTGCGTGACTGTAGAAGCAACATAAAAGTATAAGCAAAAGTGTTTACTGGCAAAGGTGTTAGCTTAGAACTCTTAGCCTCCAGAGATGGTGTGAACTAGAGCAATAAGGTGTCATGTCACTTTAGAATTAGTAATGGTTGGTTATATTTTAGAGAGGAAAAAATGTAAAACCTAAAAGCAAGACGAAGACAGAAACCAAGCAAATGAAATCAGATACATTTTTTCTTTCCTTTTTCTTTTCTTTTTAAGGTCCTTATTCATGCTTTACACACACACACACACACGCGCGCTTTTGCAGGTAATATTTTAAAATTCTAATTAAAATATTATTAAGGTATAGAACATACTCCTTAAACTTCCAAAATTTACATGGTTTATGGGATGTATCTAAGTTATGTGGAGATATACTAATGTGGAAATACACTAATAATAGATCAAAGCTACTGGTGATATCTTTTTTATTTACTTTTTTTTATTTAAGTATAGCCAGTTTATGGTCATATCCTTGATCAGCTAAGTTAATTTTAGGGACTATGTCCTAAAGAAATAACCTCACAAAAAAAAAATTCATATAAATATGCTTATAGCTGCAGAAAAATTGGAAATAAGTAAAATTTTATCTAGGAATATGAAAACAGTTAGCCAATAATAGAATAACGGAGTTTTTAAAGACAAGTATCTATAATAATTTAATGTTTGGAAAAAACAGGAATAAAACAATACTGTGTGATAAAAGCAAAAAGTAAATACAGGGTGTCCAAAAAGCCTAGAAACAGAGGATAAATGTATTTTCAAATTGTACATCTATTTTCAAATAATATCATTTACATGTTTTTCTTCAACCTCCAGACACCTTTTCAGGCGAAGTATTTAAAACAATAGATGTAGTTTTTAATTAGGAAAAAAGTACAATACATAGCACCCCTAAAATCTAAAGTAGATCAGACCTACTACTTTAAATTTAGAGATATTTCACCTGAAAACATATCTGGAAGTTGAGTAAAAACACACTGAACATATTACTTGAAAATGTAAGTAACATACTGTTTAAAAATAAGTTTATCATATGTTTCCAGACTTTTCAGATATCCTGTAGTAGGTAAACATTGATTATTATCATATAAAAACATGCAAATATTACTCAGCCATAAAAAATAATGAAACAATGTCATTTGCAGCAACACGTACTGATTCTCAAATCAATAAAATCTCAGTATGAAAGAAAAAAAAATAGTGAAACACTGCCCATCAGCAGATGAATGGATAAACAAAATGTGGTCTATCCATATAATGGAATATTATTCAGCCATAAAAAGGAATAAAATTCTGATACCTGTTACAGCACAGATTAACTCTGAAAACATGCTAAGTGAAATAAGCCAGGTACAGGCAAATTCAGAGAGACAAAAAGTAGAACAGTGGTCACTAGGGGCCAAGGGGAAGGAGAAATGGGTAGTTACTGTTTAATGGGTACAGCATTTCAGTTTGGGATGATAAAAAAGTCCTGGAGCTGAATAGTGGTCATGATTGTGTCACTGAAACTCGGACTCCAAGCCCTGCCTACTGAATTGAGACCCAAGGATAGACTTTTGAGTGAAGTAGAAAAGGCAGCTGTATTTCTTTGCCAGGCAAAGGATGTAATAGTGGAGTAATGCCTCCAAGACTGTAAACCTGCTGGGGAGAGAAGGAAGGGGGTTTTATAGTAAGAGTTCAAGGGGCAGAGCTAGTTTTCATTAAGATTCCAACTGTTGTAAAGTTATTCTTGTTTTTGCAGATGCAGTGGTCCCCTTCTCTCTGGTGGGTATGAAATTCACCTCCAGCTCTGGGACTTTTATAATACTCTTATGCCTAGAACAAAGGATGCTAGGAAGGGGGCCTATGGAAAAGAGCTCTAGAGAAAAACGTGTGCAGTTTAAACTCAGGTTGAAAAGTGCTTGTAGCATTTTAGGCACCCTGAGACCTGGGACCTCCTGCTGCAGGCTGGGACCTGCACCTCAAGCAACAAAATACAAAGAAACCACAAAGGGCTAAAAATAATTCTGACATGCACAGTTAGGGCAAATTATGAAAAATAAGATGTACAAAACACCCAGCTGCCCTTTCTGAGGTGTCAGGAGCAAAAGGAGGGCACTGAGCATGATCCCCACATGCAGCACCATGAGTGGGTGGGGCAGACCACCCAAACCCTCCTCCTCTTCAGATTAACCCTGGTCAGCGAGGGCATGAGAAAAGCCATTTTACCTATTATAAATTAAGCAGTTACAAATACCATATGGTCATCAATGACAACAGGGTCCTGCTCAGTTACGGTTGCATAGTGATGTGAATGTACTTAATGGCACTTAATTGTATTCTTGAAAATGGTTAAAATACTAAGTTTTAGGTTATTCATGTTTTACCACAATTTTTTTAAGTTAAAAAAAAAAGCTAGTGAGAGATATCCTAACCTACCTACCAAACATGCTTTGGGGTGAAGTTCCTACTGGATGCTTGATTGGTTTATAAAGGAAGGGTAACAAAATACACACACATTACCAGACTATCAAGACCTCCAGAACAACAGTTCTCCTGCCATCTACCCTGTTTCCAGCCATTTCATTCAGTCTTCTGACATATCATTTCAGATGTCCTCATAAGGGAACTACTCAATTCAACAAATCATAATTTACTTTGTGATACAAATTTTACTGAAATTTCATGTCTTAGGAGACAGAAGAGAACAAAAGTTACTTTGACTCTGGGCTTTATTTTGAGTTTTAAGGAGAATTACTTAAAGTGGAAGAGAAGAAAAACTAAAATTAAGTGATTCCTATTATGTTAAAGGAAATTTCACATAGATCTTCTCATTTAATATTCATAACAATTCTGGAAAATTTTTCCTCCACTTGGTACATGATAAAATGGAGAACCAACGAGGTTAAGAAAACTTGCTGAAGTTCACACGTCTACTAAGCAATTTAGTAACAACAATCTCATGACTGTATGAAGAACACTAAGCCCTTTCCATTACCTGATTCTACTTTAAATTATGGGGAAAAGTGACCATGTTACCATAGTGTTTGTATGGAAGAATCCAGAGAAGAAAACCTTGGATGTAATTAGATGTAAACCCTAAATACAAGAAAAGCCAATATTGAAATTTCAGGGAGAAGATAGGGACAATCCCAAAGGCATAAACTCTCACAGGGAAGCTGGTTCAAGTTGAATGAGAGGTTGGAAAGCAATAAAGTCTCATAATATAATCTCAAATTATGATAATGAGGAAGAAAGATATAACATAATCTCAAATTATGATAATGAGGAAGAAAGATGTTACAGGGCAAGGAGCGTCAGGATAGATTTAAAGAAACCAAAGTATTTCCACAGGAACTCTCTAGTCAACATGTAGTTTCAGGTAATACACCAATGACTATAAGAAACAAATCCTAACATTCAGAATAAACTAAGCTAAGAGTGAGGGTATAGCTCAGTGCTAGAGTGTGTGTTTAGCATGCCAGAGGTGCTGGGGTCAATCCCTGATACCTCTACTAAAAATAATAAGTAAATAAACAAATCTAATTTCCTTCCCCTCCAAAAAAGAAATAAAACAAATTTGAAAAAATAAATAAAATAAACTGAGCTATGGGGGGGGGAATGACAAAAAAAATCAATATTTGAACATATATAAAGATCTAATGATAAATTCAAAGAGCAAAAAGAACAGCAAAGGGCAGTTGCCATAGTATAAACAGAACACTGAGGAAAGAACAGAGCAATTCAATTTCAATTTTGTTTTTATTTCCTCAAAAATAAAATAAGTCTTAAAGTCCAAGATAGAAAAAAGAGATAAGTGAGCATCTCACTATTTTAAAAAATATTTAAATCCCAAGGGCCATATAAAGAACACTGCAGATTTCAAATTCAAATAATTTTCTAAACATGTATAGAAAAGAAAAGGCACCAGAAGACAAATAATTGGAAAAATTATCTTATTTTTCAGCATGCATGAGATGGATTCTGGAAGCTGCCAAATACAGTATATCTATAAGTGACTTTAAAAAGGTGGGGTGATGTGGAGTGTAAAATCTGGCTCTGAAAAAATAAATAAATACAAAGTCTGGCTGTGCTAGATTTGTAGCCTTGGACTTGTTCATTAACTCTTCTGAATTGTATTCACTCATCAATGAAATGGAGACGTTGAATTCCACTTTGTAGGCTGTGCTGTGAAGATTAAGGAGAACAGAATAGAGCACCCGTCACAAAGCAAGTGCTCAATACCTGGCAGTTTCCATTATTATTATCTATATTATAAACTTGGTTATAACTGATCTAAGATAGAGCTAGACTATGTTTACGTATCTTACTGATAGATAACTATTTAACAGCGAAAGAGGGACACTTCTGACAGCCTCTGGCATGTAGCAACCTAATCCCGTAGCGGTGTTCTCCTCTAGCGGAATGCCAGTTCGGAAACTTCAGGTTTAACACACCCATATGCTCTTTTGGCAGCTGTTTAGACCTAAGTATGAAACTAGGAATAGCAGGCATATCTTAAAAGAGTATGTAAATCTTGCCATGAGAACAAAAGACAAACACTAGTACAAGGGAGTCAGCAGATCACACAGAAGTCAAATTGGTTCTACAGAATCTGACAAGAGCTGAGGGCAAGAAAAAGAATCAAGCCAGAGGACCAGGCAAAATTCCACAGGAGTGTCAGACGCAAGGCTTACCTGTGGCTGCTGTCCAGCCTCTCAGGGGTACTCCACCCTCTCCAGTGCTGACTGGAGCCAAGGGGCCGCAGAAGAAAACAAACCAGTTTTGGAAATGCAGTCAGTGTAACTCTGTTCAGCTTACTCAACAGTAGAGGCAGGATTTAAAGGAAATAAAGAAGGAAAGGAAAGACAAAATCCTTTAATACTCTCCATTCCTCCAGGGGACTTCAGAGTAACAGAAATATCCCCAAGTCCCAGCTATCCTCTGCCTCATCTCCCGTCATCACACTGTGTAATTTACAGTAGCTGCTACAGCATGACTCTCAGGGGCAGTGTCTTGCGTTATGACTCACTGTTCTGTGTGTCAGTATTTTCCCAACAATGTTTCAAGCTCTTGGCTCACTTCTGCTATTGATTTCAGTCAGCCCAAGAACTCAGATGCAGCTATACCAGAATGAGAGGAGAGCTGCTGCAAAAAGATCCAGAAAGCAAGGTTATTATTACCAGATGCCATAAAACCAAGATTTCACATATCTAACAAAGAGATCCCAGTGCGTTCTGCGACCTAGTCTAGGGAGAGCATAAAGGAAAAGTAAACCAGAGGTGAACTGACCCGAAGTTGGATTCTATGCAGAATTTCAAAGGAATGAATTTTCTTTTGACAAACCAGATCCTAGGTGCTTTCATCTTCTATTAAAATAGGAAGTTATATAACTTACAAACTGTATGTTCTCCCCACCTGCTTTAGAGTAATTAATTACCTCTCAGAATTTCCCCAAGGGATGTTTAATAAAGTTGAATTCTTAATAAACTCTTCTGTGATTCTACCCCAAAAAGAAGACATAAAGTAATTTCAAAGCATAAAAATCAGCATGAAACCAGCACTAAAAGTTTAACTAGGAGTTCTTGTTTTCTTTGTAAATGTTATTTAAGTTGACAAGTTAGAATCTGATTGATTTTTGTTACCTCTGGATATTAACTCCTTATGTTACCTTGAGATGTTCTAGGGTTAGTAACAACCTGTCCCCCAGGAGACGGTGGGGAGGACAGGAAGGATCTGACAGGCCTGGAGGAAGTGGAGCCCACCAGCTCAGCAATGCAGGGAATTTAAAATCACACACATACAGATTCCGCCCTTCTTTCTCAGCTTTCTAGAACTGCTTCTTCCTCGTGCCCTCCCCACCACCCCAATTGTCTCCTAGCCTGGAACTTACTGGATTCCAGTGAATGAAGGGAAATGATTGTAAAGAAGGCATTTGCCAGGCCCCATGCCCCACAACCCACTTCCTCTCCCTCTTGAGTTCCACCAGCTCTCGTGTAGGAATCTGCTGCCTCTTTATGACCCATATGTTTCTGGATCTAATGCTCTCTTTTAATTAGACCTGTATTTCTGATCAAATTCCTCTCCGTAATACTCGCCATCCTTCTGCCTCCAACACACACATACACACACACACGTGCCAAGGGAAGCATCTAGGTTTCTACACTGGAGGGTCTCTGGGTGAGGCAGGGAAAGGGGAAGGAGAGGGGAGAAGGCTGGGGTAGAGGAGCAGAAAAGAAGGAAAAGACAGAGAAAAGGAGAGAAAAAGGAAAGAATATTCCTTCGATCCCTCAAAAGAGGATATGTGATACATGTGAAGAGCATTCACCAACAAAATAGCCTACATTTGCCAAATGCTGCGTTTACCATTTGCTGCTGGTTGTCTGTGAGCATAAGGAGATGTGCATCTTTGGCTAAGCAGAATTCCAGACTAGAATTCCAGTCCTTCTTCTCCACGGAGAAGTAGTAACAGTGGTCACCATACCTCACCCAGAGATCTGGGCAGCTAGGGCAGCTGGCACAAGTGGAGAATTTGAAACCTAGAAAAGGAAGAGGACCTGGTTCACATCTTTATGGACCACTCAGTCTTGGAAGTGAAATGGGAGGTAAGATGTCTCCCCTGCCCCACCATCTTTCAGATTAAGGTTTAGAGAAATGTACAACAATGCATGGCCTCAAAATAAATGCCTCACAGTGTGCAACTCTGTCACTACTGCTGTACACTCCTCTGAGCAAGGGTGTGAAGGAGCAGGGAAGGAAATGGGTACCATCCGGCCGAGGGCCGTGAGGAGAGTCTTTCTTGTGCTAGAGATGTTTCTGCACATGTGATATATACACAGCAGATAAAATAAATATACAAAGATATGTATAAAAATAAAGATAAAATGAATGTATCAGTGTACCATTTATATGGCTCAGCGCATACACTGTGTAACTGTATAATGCACACTGCTTAAATCAGGTGGACATTTTTAGAATGTCCAACCTCAATCTGACACCCCATGATAGTGTAAAACAAAAGGACAGAAACTAGAAAGAGCAAATTTAACTAGAATAAAAGGTTGTTTGGTTTTTTTTTAATCACAAATGTGAAAAAAATTCACTGGAAATTGGATAAAAGACTTACACTTCAACAAAAAGAATTTATTTTGGATATTAAAAAATAAGGTTTTCTGACAGAGAAAGGTGTCAGACACTAATGTGAAACGTGGTACAGGTTTCCTAACTGAGCTCTGTTAAATACAAAACATTCTCATTCCTTTAAAATGGTTGGATCATAGTTCTGTGAAAATGAAAGGGAACGTCATTTCAAGGTAATTTCAACCAAGATTCCATAATGCTGGTGATTTTCTACTTCCATGAAACACATTTGTACAAATTAACCATAAGCCCAATTCCACAATAGACAAGCATGAGCTATTACATCCAGTGAGCACGTGTGTAGATTTGTAATTGCAGAGTAGATTGTGCATCTATTCCAGATTAGGGAGTTTAAAAGTGGGAAAAGCAGTCCTTAATGTTAAAGACTAGACAACTTTTCTGAATAGGCCTGGCATGAGACCAATATAGGGTTCTGGAGATCGAGCTACAACATTAGTACCTTATAGAGCTGTGGCTTTTCCATACAGCTGTGATGTCACCCAGGCTGAATCAGAAAGTCCCAGCTTCCCTGGGAGTGTCCTTCTGTCAAAGGCAGGACCTGGGTCTGAGGTAGAGGTTCCAGGGCTGAACCCTTAGAATCTGAATGAACAAAGTCTGTCTACCGTGTTACTAACAATCATCCCCAGACAACAAAACCTAAGTTACGACTCTAGACTGTGAAACAATAACTGATGGCCCTCTGGATCATCCTATTTAAGGACCCAGAAGAACTGCATCTAGAAAAGTTCATTTCAGAAAATGGGAAAGCTCTCTAAATGGAAAAAAATTAGAATATGTCTAATTAAATTATGATATATGTATTATGTGAAAAGTCAAACACACTATTATAGTAATAATTTGATTTTCATGACAAATATTATAGTAGGCAGGGAAATGTTTATGACATAATCTCAAATTAAAAACCAATATGCAACATTATTAGCATACTATGATTAAAACTATACCCAGCCATACTGAAAAAAAAGAGGGGGAAGTGAGGGAGATTTTACAGGACTTGACTGAAATTCTATTAAAAGAATAAATGGTTACACAAATGCATGCTCTCAAAGACTAGGAGACTATACTCAGGAAATGTTGTTGTGTACTAGTGAAGATTTATCTTTTTGGAGATATTCTTCATTTTCCTAATTTTCTGTCAAGCTATATCGCTTTTATAACACAAATTTTGGTTGAAGTTACCACTTACCCTGGCACATAATCCCCTGGAAGAGCAGCAGACTCACTAGAATGACACTCAGAAGCCCCAGAGCTACCGCCACATAGCGAGAGAGAGGGGATCTGGAAGAAGCTGCAAGAACAGAATCCAAAGCAAAATCTCAAGTCAGAATAAAAATTGCAGAAAAGAAGGTCAGGGAAGGATATCTGGGATCTTGAAGCAATGTGGCCTGATGGCAACTGAGATCCAGGCCCTCAAGTTTCCTTTCCTGGGTCTGTCAGGGACGTTCTCTGAAGTCTAGGGTAGCCACCGTTATCTTCAACAAGGAACATACTTTATTTAACAAATTAAAGATACTTTTTCCTTGGTAATTGCAGCTTGCATAGTCTCATGCTCTAGTGCTGAGAATATAAATTGGAACAACTTCTTTGGAGAGCAGTTCGGCAGTGCCACCAATACTGCAAAGGTAATTTACCCTTTGACCCAGAAATTTCTCTTTGAGAAATTTTTCCTACAGACATTCACACATATGCAGCTTTTACAAAAGAATAAAGACAGGCTTTTTTTTTTCACAGATATGGGGTGATGTGCAAGGTACAGAGTTAAGGGAAATAGTTAAGAAAACAGTTTTCTGTGAAACAGTGTATGCTAATACGCATCTCTGGAAATAGACACACGCATCCGATAACACTGTTTTGCCTCAGGGGAGGGGAAATAGGTCACTGGGGACAGACGTAGGGGAAGACTTTTTACTTTATTTTCTTCTGTACCTTTTGAATTTTGAACCATAAGATGCATTGCTTTGGAAACTCATTACTGGAAGAGTAATGAGTTTGGGTTGAAAACGTGTTTAAGGATGAGATGCTCCTTTATACTAACTATGCTGCATATAGCCTGTATCTAAGAATGCTATTTTTTTAATCTGGAAAATAGAAGTGTTTCTTACCTAAATTTTTATTTTAAAATTAGAGCAGTCTCATAGTCTGATAGTATAGAACTCAGGTGAGAAGACTAAACATCTATAAAGTAAGATATTTAACTTCTAGTTTTGATTTCTTTATTTGGTAACCTTTAATTTGGATATTGGGAAAATAAGTCTACCTATTCAGGACTCACTTCCATACTTAAATTTTAGGTAAATTATTCTGTAGATGTGTGTGTAACTGTGAAGCTTTTTTAACTTATTGAAAGAAAGAAATTCATTGTAGAAATATCTTAAAATGAGAGTTCTGCATGAGGAACATTTGGACTGCCAAATCCAATAACACTAGATTTCTAGTGACATAAAAAAATACATTTACACTATAGAAGAATATTGAATGAAATAAATGTTGATTTTAGATGTTACACTAAATGCAAAAAAGGTATCAACACATAACTGTATTTGTGTAACCACAATTCAAAAAATTAAATGAAATTTAATCTTTTGCAATGTATTTTTAAAACATGCATATTAAAAGCTTCTTAATGGAGTACATATAGTAGAGTCAGCATAGAAAAGCAAAAATACATCAAAATACTAACAGTGATAATCACCTTGTACAATTATTAGTGATTTTTACTTTTTATGTCTGTCCTCATAGTTTCTCTAATTCCTATGATGGGCATGTAATACTTTTGTAAAGAGACTTTTAATAGCATTTTAATGTTCCTAAACTATTTTCCCCTCTCAAACAGAGCACCCTAGAAAGATGACCTAGAAATGAACATACCAGCGATAAATAAGAACATGCAATGTGCACTGTATATAAATAAAAACCACTGTCTGGAAATCAAAATAATTATACTCAAGTTCCAACTCATCACCAGTTGTGTGATCTCACACTTATACTTTAAAATGTACATTATTTTTGAGTTAACAGTTCTGTTCCTTACAAATTAGCACTGATATAATCCAAAAAAAGGATATATACAAACAAAAATGTCAAATTCTGCATAATTTATAGTAATAGAAATAAATCAAAATTTCTAAGTATAATGGAATGATTTAGCAAATTGTAGCAATGCTTTCAAAGGATAATACTAAAAACTGTAACAATAAGACTACGGAGCAAAAAGAAAGCTTATGGAGTTACGCTAAAGAAGATACTTCATGGGAGTTTACTGGCTAAGATATAAAATCAAATACCAATTTTGGCACTTACACTGTTATCTGCCTATCTCAGAAAGTGTTTTTCAGGGCACAGTGTAAAAGTGATTTGTTTCATCTTCAAATTCCCATAGTCACAGGGTCTACTTAAGTGTTCGTAATACCTTCTTCCTACCATTCTAGTGCGAACTGTAGGGGAGGAGAAAAAACCCAGATACATAGATCAGTTTCTTTTCTGACAACATCTTATTGTCACCCATTTGCAAAATTATTGGTGTCCTCCTTATTTTCACAGGCAGAAAAAGAGAAATACTTAGAATGGAAACAGCTGGTCCAAGGTTGCTCCAAACATCACTAAAGAGATAAAGCTCTCCCAATAAAAGTCTTGCTGCAGTTCAGAAGCAATAAAGAGCAACAGAACTGCCCCAGCTTGCGTTTCATAGTTGAGATCATAAAAGCGAATGGTTAGAAAAGAATTTACCTGAAACCTAAGATCAGATTGCCAACCATACAACCAATTTTCATATGCCAACTCTAGACTTCAAACTGAACCAAAAGCATTTCCTCAAATTATCCTCTGCATGTTTGCATCCTCTACTCTAAACAAATTTTCCAATCCATTCATCCCTTAGCCTATGGTCAGTCACTATGGACAGTTCTCATACTAACTTGGCTAACTCACCTGTTTGCTGTGGTCTGCAGTCATTCTGGGCTTGGGGTGCAGTAGAAAGTGCCAATATGGAATAAGTAACACTGTCAGTCATTTTTACCTAGTATCTTTCACATATAGTTGAGAGGGTAAAATTACAGATGTGAGAAGAGACAGACGTCAGTGAGGAAACAGCCCAATCTCTAAACTGCTAGCAGGAAACTTGAAGGTTTGTTTTTAAAAAAAAAAAAAAAAAAAAGGTCCAGCATGACAAAAACAGAAGTAATTTTTCAGGAAATCATTCAAATTCTAGAGATGCCTGTAGAAATTAATGTTCTAAACTTTGACTTTTTCATGTTTTGTTTATTTTATTTACTTATTTACTTGGCATCACCATACTCTCTAGATGCTTGTTAAGTACATTTTAAGCTGGTTCCCCATCGTTGCACTTAAATTTAGCAATTTCAATTATGGAAACTGAAATAAAAATAAGAATGAGTTCCTAGCTGTGAATTTATCTCAAGATCTTGTATTTGCTTCGTTTCCTTTCAAGAAAACAGGTGCATTGCCAAGTGAGGCTGATTTCCTTGTTTCTTGGAGCTTTGGGGTAGTGACATGTGATAGAGAAATGGATGTGGGTTGCAAGTGCCCGGAATCAGGGGAGACGTGGACTACTGCCCAGATACATGTTTTGTGAATACTCTGCACTCCTAGGTTTCCAAAACATTCTCCCAATTGTGCTCTAATCCTTACCCTCCACAGAGTAAGAAATTCCATTAAAATTTCTCTCCTTGTTCTCTTATTTTTATATGCAAAGACAACTAGAAAGAGGAACAAATTAAATAAATACATACTAAGGTGTTAGAAATTTACTTCTAATAGGTGAAGTGTTAATAAAAAGTTAAAGGAAGGAGACTAGAAAGGGAATTGAAATTCCAAGAATAGGTAAGGTCACCAAGATAAAATGTACAAAGACAGAAGAGGAGAAAGAGAAGAGAAACAGGGAGAGCATATTAATGAAAAACTAAGAATAGCTCTATTTCCAGCCATGACAGAGTGATACTGGACTTGACCTGCAGCCAAAACACGATGTGTATATATATATACAGTATATATATATATATATATATATACACACACACACACACACACACACATACATGAGGCAACTGTTTTCAGGCCTGGAACAGGCAGCACCATGATGCTGGAGAGAACATAAGACACAAAGGTAAGCACTGTGACCACCCCGGACCACTTTCTGGCCCAAAGCAGGAAAGTGAATCCTAAACAGAGCAGGAGTCTCATGAAGCTGAGGAGGCACAGATCCAAACTCTGAGCTGCTGACATGCCTGGAATGTGCAGATCAGGGTGACTGACCCGAGAGAGCTGCACAGAGAGAGGTGTCTGGAAGATGCCGTGGGAGCGCGGCCTGGGGCCCTGGCTAAGAGCTGGGTCCACGGACAGGCCTGCGGTCCCTGCTGAGGGGGCCTGCCGCGCCGCCAACAGCTGGAAAGCGAGACCAGCAGTGGTTCAGTGCTGGCCGCTGCAAACAAAGAGCCAAAACCCAGACTGACAGAACCAAAAAAGATCCTTATGAGAACACACACTGATGCCCTTAAAAGGAAGACAACACAAACGACGTGTGGTCTATACGCGCGTCGGGGTGGGGGAAATTTCCCCCCATGCCCCTCTAAAGTTCTTGTGGCTGGACTAATAATAAAATCGACACAAGACAGATTAACAGAAGAAAAAGAAACAAATGTTAATTCATGCACATGGAGGCCTCATAGAAATGGGACCTAAGAAGCGGCCAGAGCAGGCAGCTTTTATACTTTCCAAAGAAACAATAACTTTGTGAGGAACTAACGGGACAAAGAAACTCGGGTTTTCGCTGTCCCATCAGTGAAGAATCTAAACAGAGTTTGGGGCTAGGGTAGTAAATTAAAGACATAACAAGTTTGTTTATATGAGCTTCTGGGCCCCAAATTCCCTGTCTTTGGCGGTAAGGGCAGACTTCTACCTCCAGACGCGGGGAGTGCACCTTTCACGTGAGACTCGTTTCCTGCTTCAGGGAGACAGAAAGGAAGATCACATTGCGTTGGCCATTTCTTAAGTAACTTTCAATTAAAATAATCTCTATGCCATTGAGGCATATTTGGGGACAGCCTCCCCTGGGCCCCAACACATACAATGAAATATTATTCAGCTTTGAAAAGGAAGGAGATCCTCTCATGTCCTACAACACAGATAAACCTGGAAGACATTATGCTAAATGAAATAAACCAATCACAAAAAGACAAATACTCCAATGATTCCACTTACATGACACACCTAAAGTGGTCAAACGCATAGAAACAGAAAGTAGACTGCTGGCTGCCAGGAGCTGGAGAGAGGGAGAAATGGGGAGTTGTCTGATGATTAAAGAGTTTCAGTTTTGTAAGATGAAAAACTCGTGGAGCTCTGCTGTACAGCAATGTGAATATGCTTGTATTAGTCTGCTCAAGTTGCCATGGCAAAATGCCACGGCCCGGGTGGCTTAAACAAGAGAAATTTATTTTCTCAGTTCTGGACACTGGAACTCCAAGATTAACGTGCCTGCATAGTTGGTGTCTGGTGGGAACCCCACCTCGGGTTGTAGCAGCCACCTTCTCACTACGGTCCCACGCGGCCTTTCTTCAGTGCATGCCTGCCAAAGAGAGCCAGCCAGCTCCCTGGGGCCTCTTCTGAGAAGGACGCTAATCTGATCAGATCAGGACCCCACCAGTATGACCTCATTTAACTCTAATTACTTCCTTAGAGGCCCTTCTCAAAATACAGCCACACTGGAGATTAGGCCTTCAATACATGAATTTGGGGGTGGAAGGAACACAAAAATCCAGTCCATAACGATACTTAACACTACTGCACTACACTCGAAAATGGTTAAGATGGTAAAAAGAAAAAGAAAGGAAGGAAAGAGAAAGAAAGAGAGAACGAGAAAGAGAGAAAAAGAAAAGAAAGAAAGGAAGGAAGGAAGAGAGAAAGGAGGAAAGAGAGAAAGAGAGAGAAAGCAAGCAAGCAAAGCAAGGCAACATAGGAACCAGAGCTCCCTGAGGAAATGACTAGTTCGGGGGCCAGAGAAGAAAACACACACAATGGGCCTGGAGCATCTCTCAGTCTTTTACTGTTAGAAAACAAGGGAGTACTCAAAAAAAAAAAACAAAAAAGATGAGGGCCTGTCAGAGGGACTCAGGAATCAACCTGGAAAAGCTTCCAATGGCCGAAATGAATCAATTAGAGCAACAAAATAAACTGGATTATATTGTAAGTATTGGATGTATTATATTATAACCTAGGAATTTTTTAAAAACCTATAAATCCATACTGAAATATTTTTATTTATTCTTGAACAAATAAGAATTGTATGCATGTATGAAAGTTTTGATATAAGTATGCATTGTGAAATGATTACCGCAATCAAACTAACATATCCATCACCTCCAGTAGTTACCATTTGTGTGTGTGTGTGTGTGTGTGTGTGGTGGTAAACACTTGAAATCTACTCTCTTAGAAGATTTCAAGTACACATTCAATACATTAACTATAGTCATCACGCTGTATATTAGGTCTCCACTATAGTCATCACGCTGTGTATTAGGTCTCCAGAACTTACACCTATTCATCTTATAACTGAAATTTTATACCGTTTGATCAGTTATCTCTCCTTTGCCTCCACCCATCAGTCCCTGGTAACCCTTCTATTCTTTGTTACTACTACGAGTTCAACTTTTTTTAGATTCCAAATAGTGAGATCATGTGAAATTCATCTTTCTGCGGGTGGTTTCACTTAATGTCCTCTGGGTTATTGTAAATGGCAGGATTCCCTTCTTTCTTAAGGCTGAATAATCTCCCATTTTATATATGTGTGTATGTGTGTGTGTGTGTGTAAACATATATATATAAATCTCACATTTTCTTTATCCATTCATCTATCAACGGACACAAAGGTTGTTTCCATATCACAGTCATTAAGAATAATGCTGCAATGAACACAGCAAGCAGGTATCTGTTTGAAGTACTGAATTTATTTCGTTTGGCTATGTACCCAGAAGTGAGATTGCTGGATCATATGGTGGTTCTATCTTTAATTTTTTTTAGGGGTTTTCATACTGTTTTCCATAGTGACTGTACCAATTTACATTTCCATTCATTTGGGTGTTTCCTTTGCTCTGCAGAAATTATTTAATTTGATGTAGCTCCAACTTGTTTATTCTTGCCTTGTTGCCTGTGCCTTTGGTGTACATTCCAAAAACTCATTGCTCATTGATTGCTCAATCACTGACTACTGTCAAGGAGTTTCTCCCCTACGTTTTCCACTGGGAGTTTAATGGTTTCAGGTCTTACTTAATTTTAAATCTTTAATCCATTTTGAGTTGTTTTTGTGCACGGTGTAAGAAAAGGGTCCAATTTCATTCTTTTGCATGTATGTTTATATTTTCCAACATCATTTAGAGACTATCCTTTCCTCACTGTATATTCTCAATGACTTTAGAAATCAGCTGACTATACATATTTGAGGGATGGCATGATGCAGACAAAATGAAACTGGTCTTCCTTCCCTTTTTGGTGGTGATTTTCAAGTTTTTGGCTCCACTGTGTTACTAAGTGGATTCCCAAGATCTCCCAGAGCTATTTTCATTAATAGATAACAGTCTAATTTTTGTTCTTTGTGTGGAGGACAGAGGCTGGAGTCTCCAACTCTGCCATTATGCTGCAGTCACTCCTCTGAATCCATACTGATTCAAATAAATTACTGAATAAAGAAATAAAGGGAGGAGATGTTATAAATTTTCCTTACAGAAAATGGATAGGGGAAAAACAGTAATTTTACAGTGGAGAAACCACTGTAAAAAAATACAAACTCAAATCATGAACAGGGTTAGCTGTGTGAACCACCAGTGGCAAGTCTTGTTGATATCATGCATTCCCAACGTGAGGCAATGAGAAAGGCACCTGGCCACTATGGTATATTTCATCAAAAGCCACATCTTCAGTCTAAATATGAAAAATAATCAGATAGCTTCGATTTGAGAGATATTCTACTAAATATCTGAGCAGTACTCTTCAAATTCATCAAGGTCGTAGAAAGTAAGAAAATACTGAGAAACAATCACAGGCCAGAGAAGACCAAGAAAATGTGAAAACTAAATGCTA